ACACTCCGATAATGCCTCTCCACGTTACCTTTCTTTGGCAGAGCGACGCTTGCTTTACCAATAAGGCAAATAACCTTTGAATGTGACATCACAACAAATATTCTTCCTCCCATTCTGGGTGGAAGTGGTTTGTCTTTAGCTTCTTGCTCGGTCCCGCACTAATTTTTTTGTTTGTCTCTTGTTTGTCTCTTTAACTTAATTTGAGTTTTCCCGGCACTTGACTGATTTTGTATCGCTTTGCATTCTGGGTTAACAGACTGGAAAGCGATAGGTCGCTTTTTCTGTCAATCAAGTAAACTCCTGAATTAAGTGGCAGGGAGGCCAAGGGAGGAGGGATCAAAACCTTTTTTTATGAATGACTCGCGATCTACCAGCATTGCCCCCGCGGTCGACGTACCTCTGCAATAGAGGAACTACTAGGTGTCAGAGTGAGACAAGCTTCCTACTACTACCGTGTCATTGTGAATGGAATACTGTATCACTCGGACACAAACAGCCGCCTTCAGAAAGGAAAGAACTCTGTTGTAGAGCTGCAGAATGGGACGCTTATCAGAGTTCTGAGCTTGGTAGTTTCTGGTACAATACACTGTGTTTTGGTCAAGGAGTTTCTGAAGTCTGGAAGGAAGCTGTGCAGAGACACAACACTTCATATTGCATCAAGCTTCATGTATGAAGTGTCTGAGTGCAACAATGTGTATGCCATACATCCAGACTCATTGACATGCAAATGTGTCATGATTAAGTCGAGGGAGAAGATATATGTTATCCCTCTACCAAACAACGTTGAACGAGACTGATTTGACTGGACATCAAGGAAGCCTCAAGAACTGATTCAGACTATAGGCTTGATGTAAGTCACCGGATAACAAATGAGATTAAATAATGAGCCTATAATGGGAAAATAAGTGTACTAATTTCCAATTCTGTGCACAATGAATTATGTCATTTTGATGTTCTACTTACTAGTATTTTGTAATGTACGAATCCCTAGTAGATTGACTTGTTAAGTACACACCTGTAGTAGAATGTTGAATGTGATGTACCAATGTGTTTTAGGAACCTGTTCTGAACCTGACGTACATAAAGTGCCTTCTGTCAAGTAAGTCTTTGTGCATTAATACATGATGGTAATAGTCCAGACCTATACACTTCCCAGAGGTGTAAACAAAGTACACTATTCACAAGTGTTATAAAATAAACACTTACAAACAAAGTACACTGAAGTACAGTTTAAAATGAACTAACATTAAAGTGCACTGTTTGTAAGTATACTTATGTACACTTCTAATGGAGTGAAATTCAAGTCTACTTAAATCAAGCATACTAATAGTGTATTACAAATGACTTGCAAATATTGAACTTTTCAAAAGTAAACTAACGTACCACCGTAAGTATTTGCAAGTTAATATACTTTTTAAAAGTACAATGAAGTACAAATTAAGAAAAACGTATATTAAAGTGCACTTTTTAGAAGAGTACTTAAATACATTTCGAATGAAGTGTATTTAAGTACTTGTTATTAAAGCATGCTAATAGGGTATTACAAAATAGTAAAAAAAGAATTGTACTTTCGATAAGTATACTTAATGACTACTATAAGTATTTGCGATACGTATAGCGAAAGTGTACTTACTTGCAATTCACAATACACTTAGTTTCAAGTACACTTTTAATAAGCACACTGAAATACCACTTTAAGTATTTCAGAAATATTATATTTATATTTAGTACATTAAAATTGAACTAAATTACATCTATTTTGAATTGTACTTTTTAAAAGTACATTTTAAACATACTTTCAATTAAGCACAAAAAGTAGAAGTATACTTGTATACACTTTTGTACACTTACATTATATTTCTAATACACTAAAGTATACTATTTTTTTACCTGGGGCGCTGGCACCGAAACCCCCGAATGAAGCCTCTCCAAGATCAATCGTGGTTAAGTTTTCAAGCTACGCGGTGAAGGAAGATGTCCTGAAAAGAGCTTGGCAGAAAAAAGGATTTGACTTCCAAGGGAAAAGGATCCAACTGGACCATGCACCGGAGGTATTGAGGAAGCGGAGGGAATATGCAGAAGCAAAAGCTGCGCTCAAGGGAAGAAATATACGATTCCAAACGCCATTCCCCGCCCGATTAAGAGTGTTTTACGAGGAAGGTACGGTGGTCTACGGCTCGGTGGAGGAAGCAACGCTGGACATGGCAAAGAGGGCAATTCCAGTGACCGTGGTGAAAAAGACAACCTCCCTTTTGGACCAGATCAGCCGGATGACTTGGCGATCCAGTGAAAAGCGAGGAAACCAGGGCACTACACGCACCAACCAGGGCTTTAAGGAACGGCTCCATGCATACCGCCGTCAGGACACCTGATAAGTACTGCTGCTCTAATAGAAACATTCAGTTACAATTATAATGTTACTTCTAGAAACCACAGAGAGTTTATGCTGTGTAATGTTGTTCTTGGAAAGAAGCGGTGATTTCCCTGATTCCAAAAGAGGGTAAAGATAAACTTGAATGTGGGAATTATCGTCCGATAAGTGTATTGAATCAAGACTATAAGATTTGTACCCATATTTTAGCAAAGAGACTTGATAAGATCCTCCCCCGGATAATAAGTCTAGACCAGACAGGTTTCATTCAGCAAAGGCAGACCAAAGATAACATCCGGCGAACCTTACATGTGATTGAACATATAACTAAAAATAAAATTGAGGCAGTATTATTGAGTCTTGATGCGGACAAGGCTTTCGATCGAGTCAATTGGGAATTCTTGTATAGAACATTAGAGACATTTGGATTTCACCCATCGTTTATTAGAACCATACAAGCACTTTATAATGACCCAAGGGCAAAAATAAAAATAAATGGGGACATATCCGCATCATTCGGCCTGGAAAGAGGGACCAGACAAGGCTGTCCAATAAGTACATTATTATTTGCAATATTTATTGAGGCTTTAAGCCAGGGGGTTAGTCAGGAAAATAATGTTGCTGGCATAAAAATACAAGGCAGAGAACATAAAATGTCATTATTTGCGGATGACCTTTTAATTCACTTGTCAAACCCCGAGAGCTCAATCTTGAAATTATTAGCATTCCTAGATGACTTTAGCTCCGTCTCAGGTTACAAATTGAATATTCAAAAGACCCAAATATTAACTTTTAATTCTAGGCCTGGCCAGATTCTAAAGTCGAATATCCAATTAAACTGGGATCTGGATCACATCAAATACCTCGGAGTTAACATCCCAAAAGACCTCACAAAATTGTATGACTTGAATTTTAATCTGTTGATTAAAAAAATTAAGGAAGACATAAAGAGATGGAATTTAATTCCAATATTAAGTTTTGAATCACGAATTGAATCAGTTCAAATGAATGTCTTGCATAGGATATTATATTTGTTTCAAACTCTTCCGATAGAAATAACAGATAAACAATTCAACGAATGGGACATGTTAATTTCGCGCTACATTCGGCAGGGAAAAAAACCGAGAATACGATTTCAAACTCTTCAATTGGCGAAGAACAAGGGAGGTGTTGCACTCTCCTGTTTAAGAGACTATTATATATCGGCCCAATTGAGGATTTTGTTCTGTTGGTGTAAATCAGATTACCAAGCAAGATGGAAAGAAATTGAAGAGAGGGTGTCCGGGGCAGTTCCAATACAGGCACGATTAGGGGATACAAGACTCATTAAAAACCTAATGGAAACGGGTAATAAGTGGATCAATCTGACTCTGAAAACATGGTTAAAGGTTATAACAAAGAGTGGCTTGCTTGAAGAGATAAAGATCCTGAAATGGTGCTCCCATGATCTCGACTTTACCCCGAGTAAGCTAGACGCAAGTTATAAGGGATGGGGCCTCTCTTCCTACTGTACTTTTTTTAATCGGGGGACACTGAACCATTTTCAAACGTTGAAAATACAACATGGGCGAAATAACAGTGACTTTTTCAGATTCCTTCAGGTACGCCACCACATGAACAGTTCTCTGCTAGAGAACCAGAGGGCGTTCGAAAACAACTTACTGAAAGTATTTATTGGTGCATATGGTACAGATTCAGGGCTCAAAGTGATATCAAGAATATATAAGGGACTCCAGGAGATTAAAAAAACAAGTACCATATACATAAAACTAAAATGGGAAAGGGAAACTAACAGTTGTATTCCAGAGGAAATCTGGAACAACTATTGTGGATTCCAATGGAGAATAACAAGCTCCTCCTCATGGAGAGCGTTCGCCTGGAAGAGTCTCACTAGATTTGTTATCACGCCCGCTCAGCAGTCTCACCATGCTGGTTCTCCCAGCTGCTGGAGGAATTGTGGCTCCCAGGAAGCAAACCATTACCACGTGCTCTGGGATTGCCCAGTAGTAAATACCTTTTGGCATAAGGTTTATAAAGAAATTGTCATCATATTTGGAAAAAACATTTATTTTAATTGGGATGAACTCCTCTTTGGTTTCCTGCACTCAACATCCACAAATATTAAAACAAAATACTTGTTTGGGATGTTGAGTGCAGCCGCCAGGAAAGCAATCACAAAGAATTGGCTCAAACCAAACAGCCCATCTATAGATGATTGGTACGATATCATTTACGAAATCTTTGTAATGGAAAGAACACCCTTCTCTTTGAGGCTCCAGGAACAGATTTGAGGACATTTGGGAGAAATGGAAAGTGTATATTACCCCGATACGCCCTTCTTTTGTCGAACTGTTTGAATATTTTATTTAAGGATCTATACTGTCAATGTTTTATATTGTAAAGAAAACACCCCATGTTCTTGTGTGCTTATTGTTGTTGTCTTGTCAAGAAAAAGAAAGAAAGAAGGACCACTCTGTACAACTATTTAACTACATATGTATATGTACACTGAAGTTGAAATGTGATCAAAATCAAAAATAAAACACAGAATAGGCTTTATTTTACACACATAATATTGTGATAATATTCACTTTAAACACAGTAGTGAGTGTTTCCCATGAAGTCTTACTTGAGAGACTCCTCCACATTGACCATCTCCACGGGGTAGAGCTGAACTCCAGACACGTCGTCCTGCTCCGCTCTGATTAACAACAAATATTACATTTTTCAGAGTGTGTAAACAGTAAGACAGGTGCCATGAAGAGCAAACATGTACTCATTCGATATTTTCACTATAAAAGCGTTACCCTTAGATCTGGGGTGTCAAACTTAAGGCCCGGGGGCCAAATCCGGCCCGCGACTTCATTTGATGTGGCCCCGCAAGAGCTTGCAAAGAATATAATACGTTTATTATACGGTTACATGCTGATTTACAGAAGCACGTTGCCCATAAACTACATGTCCCACAATGCATCTCGTTTTGTGACATGAGCACTGAAGAGACTTGCAATGGTTTGCCCTGGACTTCTGCTTTCAGACGTAGTTAATTACTAAGTTATTATCCTATCCCATAATAATCAAATTCAGAGGCAATAATGTAATATAATAAATCATTTTATATATTATATATTTATATAGTTACAACCGGCCAATGAAATTGAGTTTGACCCCCCTGCCTTAGATGCACGACTGACTGGACCCTACACTCTTCCATAAGTGGGTCAAAAAGGACCCGTATTAGAATAATATGTGTTTTTATGCCATTATTGTCATTTTTGTTAAGAAAAATCACTTGTATAATATTTAGTATAATATTTTGGTTCACACTATAAAATATTTTATATTACATTTTTCACTATTTATAATTTTAGAAAAAAAATTACATTTTGAAAAAAGCGTTTTGAACATACCGATGCAAAGATCTCCGCTATTCTGAGACCCTCACAGTATTCCAGTCCCTTTTCAAAACTCATCTCTTCTCCTCTTGTCTACTCATAGCCCCCCCCCCCATCAATCCATGCCGGTTGATCAAGTTTGATAGTCCTATACCCCCGACCCTAACCTTCCCTTATATTGTAAAGCCCCGCGCCCCCCCTGAAATTCAAGTGTTTTTTTTTTGTTGTTGTTTTTTTTAATTTATTTGTTTTTTTAATAATACATATTTATAGCACCAAATTGCAACTAATCTATCTATTGTCACTTTTCACATTGAACATGTGCTCTTTTATTAAATAAACTAAACACTTTCATTTTAAGTTATGAGTTTTTGACCCTAAGAAACAACAACAATCCACAGCTCCTCCCCCTCCCCCCAGAGGATCCATAGGAAATGCATTGACCCACTTATGGAAGCTTGGGGTGGTTAATACAAAAACTACAATTTCTTAAAATGTATAAAATGTCAATTTAAAATTTGAATGGCATGATATCCAAAACATGTTTTTTGAGGAATAGCTGGAATATGAAATGATAAAAAAATGTAATTACAAAGATACTTCAAGACAACCCAACAACAACAACAACAACAACAAGAGACATTTGGCTCTCATTAAACCCCAGTGTCCTCTGTGCTGAAACATGACTCAGCGCCTCGTGATGAGTCTTACCTAATTTTGTAGTTTTCCGACAAATGTTAAGGCTTTTAATGACCTTAAATAGTTGCTATATATAACTTTTAAAACGACTCGCTGCACCCTCGCTGCGAGGGGGACCCAAGTTCCCATCGGCGAAAACACGTGGGTTTGCTATCCTGGCTCCAAGATGGTGGAATGAGCTCCTCATTGACATCAGGACAGCAGATAGCTTGCACATCTTCCGGCGCAAACTGAAAACTCATCTCTTTCGACTCCACTTCCAGCGTTAGAACTATTAACAAAGCACTTATATACTAATAAAGGACTGGCTTACCTAAAGCCAGTTGAGTAGCACTTGAAATGTTTTGCTCTATGAAACCTGATGTACTTTATGATTCTGTTTTCTTCAAGTTTGTATTTTGTTGGTCGAACGCACTTATTGTAAGTCGCTTTGGATAAAAGCGTCAGCTAAATGTAATGTAATGTAATATAGGCTTGAATAACCTTTAATATCTCCTTTACTTACAAACCAAAGGATTCAAACATACTTTATAGTAGTTGTAAGGGAAACTTCTGTAGCAATGGAGAGTCAGGACTCAGAGAGACACGGGACGAGCAGGAGTTCTGATGTCAAACACTGGCAGTTTATTACAAGCATCGGCCGGAGAATTCATATCACAAGTCACAGCAGCAGAAAGTTCTGACTGCACCGATGGGTTGCCATGTCAATTCTGAATCCCTTCTCATCTTGGCAGACCTTTAATTAGCTTCACTCAGAGTCAACTCACATATTGGGGGGACCAATACGTGACCACCTGGAGGTACTGAATTACTTATTTGACTTTATGGCTCTTGTGACCGAGAGTTGACCGGTCATAAAACTCAAAATGTATAATAGCTGACAGTTCCCATTCCTTAAGACAGATAACAGACTTCGGCTTCGTCGTAAAACGTCAACAGGCCGAAAGGTCAAATATCTTAGGAGTAAGGAGAATTATTCTTTGACACTTAGGAGTAAAGACAAAATGAATCCCTAACAGTAGTAAAAGTACAATAGAAAGTATGAAATATGTTGTTATTGTTTCTCACCTGCTGGGGTCCTGCAGCAGCTCCACGGCTTCCTTCAGCTGGTGGATCATCTCATGCTTTGACCTGCACACACAATATATATATATAAACATTATATAATATATATACTATCTATGGTCATTTATAAGTCAGGCGCGTTTCTTTGACTGTATTTGACTAATGACTACCCTAAACAATCAATGACAAAAACACAATATATACCAATAAAGAACAATTTAACAGGTTTTTCTAACTTTGTTTCTGTTAACACTCATTTTGTGTAATATATTGAGATCAGGGATAACTATTTTTATTAATTGCTGTTATTTAGTTAATTTAACTATGTCTTATTACCTTTTCTCTCTTTTTTAAATTAATTTCACTCGTGTGTGTGTGTGTGTGTGTGTGTGTCTGTCTGTCTGTCTGTCTGTCTGTGTGTGTGTGTGCGTGCGTGCGTGTACAAAGTAACAATGTTGAATAATTAATACATATATAAATACATATTAATTATATCAGTTATATTCATAATTTAGATAATTATATAAATTAAATGTTGTGATTATTTTTAGACTAAAAAAAGAATAGAAAATCCCTTCAACATAAAAAAAATAATACAAATACTCACATTTGTTCTGTGGGCCAGTGTGAGTCTTCCTCTATCCTCAGAGGCTCCTCGAAGTCTGCTGCTGTCCGACCCTGCACACACACACATTAACACACACACACACACACACACACATTAAAACACACACATCAGCACCAGCTGCAGCGTGACATGACCCACAGACTCTTCAGCCATTGGTCTAAAGTCAGAGACGTTACGGCCCTCTCTGATACACAAACTGAACAATAGGCGCGTTCAGAGTACTTTTCCCCGTACTTTTCCCGTTTAGTTCCGTTAGTACCCCTTATGTCGCGTTCACACCAAAAAGAGTACTTAGTGCTGGGAACTTTGACCTCCATTTGTAGTGCCTGCTGAGAGGTGGTACCAAAAAAGTACCAATTTCTATTGGCTGGGCGAATTGCAAACCATGCCCCGTAAAACTCTGAAAAGTTTTGTGAAGACGCCATTGTATTTGTGGCATTAGCATTATTAGCATTAGCATTCGCCCCGCGCACCAACGGAGAGAGACTAACTTATGGCAACACAAAATAAAACATGGGAGTGGTGGAGATGAGGAGGTGTCGGCGTTCTGGCGATTTACTCAGAAGGCTTCAGTAGAAGCTGCTGGGAGTCCCAGCAGCTTCTACTGAAGCCTTCCCCAACTCCGGGGACTTCCGGCCGGGGACTTTGGGCGGCAGTATACGCCGTGAAGTGGTTTGCGGCCTGCCAGTAAAGCCAAAGCAGAAGAAGAAGAAGAAGAAGAAGAAGCTTCATTTGCCTAATCCTTCCCCAGGGAACTTATTCCGGTGTGAACGCGATCGGCTCTTAGTTCCATGGGGTAGTAAGTGCCGGGGCACTAAGTACGGCAAAGTACTTGGTATTGTAGAGGAAACTTCTGTGTAGCATGCAATGGAGTCACCGACTCAGGAAGGAGACACGGGAAGAGTCGGAGCTTTGATGTCAAACCACTGTGATTTATTTGGAGTTGGTACCAGAGTGTTCACATCACAAATCCAAGAGTCAGAGGTTCTGACTTCACGGTAGAGTTGCCACGTCAATTCTGGAGAGCCTCTCTCTTGCCAGCCCATCTAACTGGTTTCGCAGAGAGTAAACAACATATTTGAGGAGATAGCCTAAACAGTGTGGGAACACTGAGCTACTTGCGTCGGACACTTATGACCTCGAAGATTTCACCTTGGAGTCCACAAATACAGAGAAGGAAGTGTCCCAGTGTACCCACAACACAGACCATCTGTATCCCAGTATTGACCGGTCACAGAATGGGAACAATAACATTATTGGCTAAGCAGCCTGTGTCCTTAAAGAAGGTAAACAGACATCGAGGTTTGTCCTGTATGTTACTAATTGGCGTCTTATGATAATTATTTCCATAACGGGTATGAAAGTGGCTAATAAGGACTTTATGTAACTTTTCCTCTCCTTCATCACTTCCTTGCCTCCTTCACTTGGTCATCTTTAATGTAATTCTTTAAAGAGCTGGTTTCCCCTCTGCTCCATGTGTCTTCCCCTCTATCCTCCTCCAGGTGCTAAATGGTCTTTTCTCAGATACCCAAAGAGAAGTCATTGAACAGATGTTACCTTGATGTAGTTGACGAAGCGTGTGCTGAGCGCCGAGTCTCTGAAGTTGATTTGGTCCTTCAGGGCCTCCGTAGGGCTTTCTTCAATCAGACGCACCGAGTCACAGTCTGCTGGAGACGGGACGGGAACATCAGCTTATTTATTTATTGTGTATTTTGTAAATTGTGTGATTTTCTTTACGTTTTTCATCTTTAATATTTTTGTAAGCATGCTTCTTAGTTAACATGAAGCTGTCTGTGGCTCTTTTCTGCTGTAACACGTGTAAATGTCCCCTCTGTGGGACGAATAAAGGTTTTATGATTCTGATTTATACTGCGTAGTGTAATTAGGTAGATAATTTGTTTATATATCATTTGTAAGTCAATAATATGTAGTACGCTGGAGCGGTCTGGATCTACCTGAAGGAGGCAACGACAGCTTCTGAATATGTGGGTAAATAACAACGAGCTAATATTGAATACAGTGTGTTCATATTGTTGGATTTTCCACCCTATATGGAGCTTTTAAGGACAAATAATAATACAAAAGTTTTCTGAGTGACCTTCAGCAGCTCTGACCTGATTGAAGCTGATTGAAATCTATTTCAACGCAGTATCTGGGGACGTGTGTGTGTCCGTGTGTCTGTGTCTGTGTGTGTGTGTCCGTGTGTCTGTGTCTGTGTGTGTCCGTGAGTCTGTGTGTGTCCGTGTGTATGTGTGTGTGTGCGTGTGTGTTTGTGTCCCCCCGTGTCTGTCTCTGTGTGTCTATGTGTGTGTCAGTGTGTGTGTCTCAGTGGGGTGTGTGTGTATCTGTGTGTGTGTGTGTGTGTGTGTCCGTGTGTCTGTGTCCCCCCGTGTGTGTGTATGTGTGAGTGTGTGTGTGTGTTTGTTTGTGTCCCCCCGTGTGTCTGTGTGTTGTGTGTGTGTATGTGTGTGTGTCTGTGTGTGTCTGTATTTGTCTGTGTGTGTCTCTCTGTGTGTGCCTATGTGTGTTTGTGTCCCCCCCGTGTGTCTGTGTTTGTGTGTGTGTGTGTGTATGTGTGTGTCTGTATGTGTGTGTGTGTGTGTGTGTTTGTGTCCTCCCGTGTGTGTGTGTGTATGTGTGTGTCTGTATGTGTGTGTGTGTGTGTGTGTTTGTGTCCTCCCGTGTGTGTGTGTGTGTGTGTGTGTGTGTGTGTGTTTGTGTGTGTGTGTGTGTATGTGTGTGTCTGTATGTGTGTGTCTGTGTGTGTGTGTTTGTGTCCTCCCA